TTCCAGTCTTCGACATAATTTGCTTTAATTATGAATCACAATTAAGTGAAGCAGGTGAAAAAAAAAAAAAAAAACGTGCGATTCAGTTACTTATTTGAATGTGCAAGTAAAGTGAACATTTGATGTTTTCACATTTAACAGAATGATCCAGCTGAAGGGGACCTAATACTCATGGTCTTAAAATAAGTAAGGAGAATTTGCTACCTTTCTATAATCAAGAAATGGATAGATATTCTAGTCTTCTCGGATAAGGACGAATAAACCGTAGGCCCCGTCTCCTGCAGGGTTAGGGGTAGGAGACGTTAATTTCCCACGCACGAGATTACTGTGTTGTGGATGTCCTCTCCTGGGGTGGGATGGGTGGGAATTAGCCCTGAAAAGCACCCATGGGGAGTGGTCAACTAATGCATGTATGTATGTACCTGTAAAAGTAGTAACATAGGTGACTAATTGAGAAACTTGAACACTTGGTAATTATTGTCATATTATCTTTGCTTGTAATTCAGATAATTGCAGTTTGCTGAGGTTATTGAAATATCAGTCCCAATACAGAAATGTACTTTTCACATGACTTCTACAGCCATATACTTTGAAATAACTGAAAAAAATGTCTTCTAGTTTGGTAGAACTACTGTAATTACAATGGCACCCAGACCCTCAAATTAATAATTTCCTGTAGGCATGAATGTATTGGAGAAGTTATGGTCAAAATTGGCCCTACTTTTGCATGCATGCATAAGGTTTAAGGATTTTAATGTATATCTTTCAGCTTTCAGCTTTCAGACCTGAAACTTTGTATGAATTGTAACTGTCTACCATATCAAATTTTATTCTTTGTACCTTAAGCCCATAGAAGTTGTAGCACCCAAATCTGTAACTTAACCTCCTTCATTTAGAATTATGTGAATTGTGTCTCAAGATTTCGTTGCAGTGCATGGTGTTCTTACAAATACTGATACCCAAACTAAACATTGATATGTTAGGGAATTGGTTTCAGGATATTTGACTTTTAAAGGTTAGGAATCTGGAAGAGTAAGGATCCCCCTTCAAATTGGACTGAAATTAATGAGCACCTCCCCTTCCCCGACCCTTTTAACGCATGTTTTTACCTGTCTCCTCCCCTTTAAATAATTAGGTTAAGAGTACCTTTGTAATATTTTTGGGCAGAAATTTAAATCAATTAGTATTCACGTAATATGTAGGGCTAGAATGTTAAAAAATTAAAACAAAAGAGTTGTGCCGACCATACACTAGTTTATCTTTCTCTGAATACTTACTCATATAACATAGTAATCATTAATATTATTAGTCTCATTCACTGTCGATTTCCACTGAGCTTATGGAAAGATGATAACCTCCTTTTTGTTAAATGAAGAAAGGAGAGCCTGCTCTCTTACAGTGGATAATTCTCTTGTGCCTAAGCAAATTACAATTTTTAAAGCATTCTCTGAAAATTAAAATCTAATGGCAGACCCACGGGTTGCGGTAAGCAACCAATTCTTGCCCATTACCCATTACATTCTTGAAAATGGAGACAATCTCCCCTGTATGGACGTGGTTTAATGTGTATGGGAAGGTTATAGTTCCAGGTAGGCCATCATTTATAGTTAGTTGTAAAAATGTACCGATGAAGTCATCACCAGAGAGCTTGACTCAATTCTACCTGAAGGAGTAACCTAGCAAAACTGAATAAATAGAAACTTGAGATTTATTTGTTATCTTTTGGAGATGTGAATGAAAGTTAAGCAGTCATGGCAGGCATAAACTGCAGACTTATAAGAAATCTGCAAGAATATGTGTGTTTCAACAGTAAAACTTAGATTTTAGGTTCTTTGAATGACTTTACGACGTGCCTGTTATGGGTTCATGTAAGTGTTGTAAAAAAGTTGTGCCCATTTTTTTTTTGTTGGCTCACATTTCTTTTTCGAAGAATCTTGTTCATTGGGCCTACACCGAATTCTAATTTTTTAACCTAATTTATTGTTATTTTGAATATTCATAGATCTCCCAGAACCAGTTACCAAGAGGTCTCTTTAAACTTAATATGATTACATGAAATCTTGCAGATGCATGGCTCATCACTTTTTCTCCTGACCCTTTTAAAAGTTTATTATGTGTATATGGTTGCAAAAGTATATTCAAATGAAGGTTTTGAGCACAGCCTATGCATCAAATTTGTGTATATCGAAGGGGATTAGCTATGCACAAATGTTACACTATGCTTTGCGTAACATAATCTTGTATCCTTCCCAAACCAATTTATAAGAATACCAATGACTTACCTGGCACAAGTGTGGCTTTTTTACAATGATATTTTCCAGGCTTAAAAAAAAAAACCCTTCTCTAAATCTGCTGGCCTGCTAAAATCCTCAGTCCCCTGCCCTAAGAGCCTAGCCTCATAAAAAAGTCAGCAACAGGAGCTAGAAGATCAATTACACAAACAGCCAAACCTATTCAGACATACACTCTCCTCAATCCTGATAGCTTATCTGAATATGGCATTTCAGAGATGGTGTATATGCCACAAATTTTCTGTTTCACGATGGTGTTTACAAGTTGTCGAAGATGATTGGGTTGAAATATGTAAAAAATATCTGTCATCTGGATTGTTACACCATAAGAGGAAAAATGGAAGACAAAACTGTATAACCTGAGTTTTTGCATAGGGTGGTCAATTTTAACAAGACCCAAGCCTTTTCAAGTAGTTTGATGACAATTTCGTCATGGTGAACGGTTTAGTCTTAGTAACTGAAAAAATAAATCCTTTCTTTGAGATCAATAAGATTTCATGTTGTGTTTCATGTGAAAATGGTGCCAGAACTCTACCTATTAAACTAATATACATGCGAATGTGAGAGACTACCGTTAAAAAAAATTCAAGCTCTTTAAAGAGGCCAATAACAACATAGACTGAAGTTTACAACTGAGGATAAAACTTGACTTCTTAAGAATGACAATTTCTGTAATTTGCAAATGAAGTCCAGTAATGTTTTCTACACATGTAAGTTTATGCAAATCAATGTCTTCATTGTCGAATCCCAAGTCTCTCTTCATCATTAAGTTTGAAATATGATATTCCTGTTTTCGTTTGTCTTCGATAAATCAAACTTTCGCAGCGAAGTGAAGAAAAAGATACTAAATAGATTTCTTAATTCAGTAGCTAGAGTTACTAAGATCATGGACAGTTGCCCGATCAAGACACTGACATTGCATGCAGTTACAGCAGAGGTTTCCAAATTAAAGAACAGAAAATCTCACAAAGAAGCCGTGTATTTCCAGCCAAATAACGATGAAACGCGAATAGTAGTAAGAGGAGTTTGAAAAAAACAGGATCAACCTTGAGTTAAGATGTGACTTTCTTTTTAACTTTCTACGCTTACCAGAGGAGATAAGCACGTTNAAAGCGAAATTATCCTTCACACTCAGTAGAAAATAATTTCAACTGATACTGACATCATGCACTACATCTGATGGAGAATACATTCCCTATCCTCCAAATATATTCCTTAAAAACATCAGGAACATGAAGTTATTCAGCTGCTTGGTGACCATTTGGCAAGTTCCCCACCCGAACTGGCCCTAAATCCCCTGAAGAACCTCTTTGATAGGCAGTGCTAAGAATGTTTTTAAATAAAAATGAAGGCTAGAAAATAAACTAGCTGGAACTCCCCCCTAAGTCTTGGCTAAATCTATATATTAGCTTGATGCGACCATTGCCAAAATTTTTGGTTTGCCCCTGTGTGACCTGGATCTAAGGCACTTTTTCATTTAAATGATGTCGTTATGTCCATATAATAGTCCATAGAGCGTAGAGCATAACAAAAGTTGATATAGGCTCGTTTCACATTGATCTCTAGATGATTTGGGAGATCAAAACTCGTCAAAACTGGTCTATGATGATAACAATGATGATAATTATCATATCATAGTGACAACAATTTATGAATTGATCATAATTAGAATATTTGCAGTTTTTTAACTCTCCACGCCGGACATTGCGGTCCTCATGTTGTCTACCACCTCATACATGTACACCAAATCACACCCCATATGATAATTTATTCACCCAGGTGATGCTGAGCTAAATTTATTTTTGGCTAGAGCAAACGCTAATATCCCGCGCGATGGCAAGGAGGTAAAACAAGTACTAGTCTTAATAATGTAATCTCGATAACAAAAGTATAAATTCTATAGCGTGGACTTTTCATTTAGCTTCGGTATTAAAGCGAATCGAAGCACATATCAAGTGATTCAAATCTGGCCGTATTGACGGCCGGAAGAAGCAATTAAAACTTACGCCTTAAAGTTGTAACGCAACGGTCTCTATTTACTGTGTTTTCTCATACTAAAATAGATCAGTCAGTGACCCTCTATGGTTCGTGTTGCATATCGGTTCGTAAAAAATCGAAACGACTGACAAAAGTGTTGCTTTTGCGACTCACGATGCTCAGAATGAACTCTAAAGAGCAGTTGGTAGATGAAATTTCGCGGAGAGATTAATTACAATTTTTTTTCTTGCATTAATTCCCAATTTCGCGTGTCCAAGGTGAAGAATCGTTTGAGAAAACTAAAGTAAATCCCGTGCTGTTTTCGGTGTTTTCGGTCTCAGTTCAGTTTAAGTTCATAAAGAAGTTAAAGGATGCAGACGAGTTTGGAAATCAGTTTAAGGCCGATGAAGATTCTGACAGACATCATCATAAGCGTGACTGTCACGCCAACTTTAGGTGCACACACGAACTCTGATTCTATATTTTTGCTATTCTTGTTGTCCGTAGTTTAGTTGTATACAAACGGCTGAAAGCAGACAGTGAAGCGTTTTTGAATTTTTTTTTTTCCATTTGCTCAAAATGTCAAAGTTGAAGTCTCTTCGAATCATAGTTAGTGGAGGGGGACTAACTATGTTCGAATCGAACCATTATTTACAATCGCTTGACATGCTTCAAAGCTAAGTATTCAAGATTAAGTAGTTAATTCAGTTAAGCACAATTTGGTTTACTTACATAGGACTCTGATGTTCACATCGTTGTTGATTCTATCCAGATCCTGGTTTGCTATCTGAAAACGATATCTGGCACTGTCGTATCGTTGCACAGCAACAAGTGTAACCAAAGCTTGATAATTTGAAATGTTGAAAATAAATCGATCTCGAAAGGCAGAATCGACATTGACAGAGCCGTTAGACGATGACTTGAGGGCTATTAGCTGCTTCTCTGATTGGTCATCACCCATTAGCAAAAACTTGGCAAATGTCAGTGAGCCGCCGGTGTTGAACCTCCAGTGCAGATCAAGATTCTCGTTTTCGATAACAGAGGTTGGATTTGAGGGCGAGGAAGTCCATGTAGGCCGCAGTTCTAAGGAAAGTGAAATGATGCAAGTTAGGCCAAATCAAAGTAATCATAATATTGAGAACGTATTATACGGTTTATTTTATCAGAAGGACAAATGTACGCTCCACTTTGATGGCAGGTGAAATTACGGTCATGTTAAAACGCAGACTGCCGACCGTTCACACTGTGCAGACTGTTATTTTATTTAATTTTTTTTGTATTTTTTCAGTTTTTTCAATTTTTTAAACCCGATTTTCACCTTTTCCTCCCTCGTTTGGTAACATCGGAACAGTGGCCAGTTTTTGGACACCAAATAACTTAGTTTCACGAAGTTTTTTCGAGCTCAGGTTACCTAGCAACAATTTAGACGAAATCCCAAGTCTCAATGTTATCGAGCACGTGGTGAGATGGAGATCAATCGACGAGGGAAGGTTGTATTTGAGTTTGCCCTTGTGTTGAGATGAATTTCAGGTTTGTCATATACTTTTGTTAACTATTTATTTCTGTATTGAAGACAGAAGCCAGTGACTAATTTAGAGTTGAGAAATGGGCTGCGTGGACGAAGCAAATGATTACCAGGATCTTCGCAACACGACCCAAAGAGCTTTATAGCAAATAAGGTGCTGCAGGCTAAAATCGACTTTTACTCGGAAATAAGATCGTGCCCATACACTTGCACGCCATTTTTCTGATAGGACATTGCCATAAAGGGGAAACACTGATTAATACATTTCGTGGAAGCTCCTCTAACAAGGACTTTTCATCAAAAATTAATGATAAATGTAGTAAAACTAAAGAAAGCGTGACCCTAACGCATTGAAACGTGACCAGTCATCCTAAGTTTAAAGAATAGTTCAATAACTAGGTAGTAGAGGGGACTGACCAGTCCCCTCTACTAACTATGGTTAATGTAAAGCAGAAATATGATTTTTGTAGCATGCAAAAATATGCAAAGTGTACAGAGCAGGATTTACGTGGGTAATTGGGGTAGAACAAGGCATTATGCTTACGTTCGAATTAAGGTGTTTACTAGAAAGGAAACTATATGCCTTCCCTCGTATATCTAGTCACATAAAAACTAGCCACTAATATGTATATAAGCATTTTGATTTAGCAAATAAAGTTAGATGTAATCAGGACTAGAGTGTGAGGCAGTCAGACTCTTCGTTCAGGACCCAAAAACCGGCCAAGTATAGAGTAAAAAAAGCAGTCGGCGCTTATGTGTTGGCCACGAAACCTTCCCTGTTGTAACAATAGGTAAATATCAATAGGTAATAATAACAATAGGTAAATATCCCTACAATCTACAATATCCCTACAATCCCTATTTATAATCATGGCTGTACTGTATCGAAGGGTGAAGTAGTAAGTAACCAAAAATTCCTCCGTCTCCACGGTCTGCACAGTCTGCACAGTCTCCATGGTCTGCAGTCTGCGTTTTAACATGACCGGTTGAAATTAAGATTAGCGAGTTAACGCCGCATCATGATCAGGCTATGTGGCGAACAACACTCGCCTGGTTACTATTGTCAAGGGGCAAACAGTGAATTACATCTGTGCAGTCAAATTAAGTCTGGTCAAATAATGGCCGAGTAGAAGGAGACAGCATAATTTTAAAACAGTCCTTTATGATGCCGGGATGAGGTCGATGAAGCCTATTTAATAATTAATTTGACGGAGCTCAGACAAATCCTCTGGTGGAGCTGTAAAACTATGCTGTAGTAAGGAGGTAAATTACAATCTTTACACAAATAGTCGCCACCAAACTTGCCTGCTTTTTCCGAAATTATGCATATCCAGAAAAGTAGTGTAGCAAACTCAAGGAAGCATCCCATGATTGCCTTTTTCTGTCCCTGGATGAACAAAATGTTGAATAGATACCGACAGTAATGAAGTCGCTTGGGTGTTTTTGAGATTCAATAGTCTATTATATAGCTATGCACTTAGTTGCCAAGCCTTTGAATAAGAGTAAGGCAAGCGTGACCTTGTTATGATACAGATGTCGCTGCCTTTTAAATATAAATTACTTTGTCATCATCCTAAATAGATACTGGTCTCTATCACAACAAGGTCACCTCCAGCCTCACTCAAAGTCCACAACTCATTTGGTGCGTAGGCAGGGCGGAAAGGAGAAAAATGGAAAAGGAAACTAATGATACACGTAGGAGTCGCAAATTCCTCTGGTTATACCGCTGCTGACAAAGCAGGCTTTACTTTGAGATCTGCAGAGATCTAGTTCTATACTTTCGTGAGAAATTTCAACCAAGACTTCCTTATTCCTTGAGGCATGTTCTCTGGTAATCGGTCACTAGTTAATGCAGTCTGCTTGTTTACAAGTCACTGTCTTGGAGTTAGAAATTGAAATATCACATTCTGGGAAATACACCAAAATATATTATCGCTAGTAATCGGATAGTTATTAACGCAATCCGCTTGTTTACAAATCAGTGTCTCGAAGCCAGAAACTGAAAGGTCAACTGGGAAATATACCAAAGAGTGTTAGTACTGTCATTAGAAGTTCGTTTTGCAGGCCATTTTTTATATATCATTTCATGACATCTCCCATGGATGGAATTCAGATCGTTGTCATCGTGATGCTCATTCCAGCTCTAACAGGTAAGCAATCAAGACAAAGCAGCGTTCCAACAGAAATTGTTGAGCTACGATTTCCTATCAATAAGATCGTTAAACTTTGTTCCTGATGTTAAAATGTTTAATTGTATTCTAATTAGCATGAAATTGGAAAGATCTTTTCATTGGAAATAAACCTAAAATCGTGGCTATTCTCAATAACTGATCGCTTCGTGAAATGCTTAGAAGAACCAAACATTTCACAGTGAAACTGGTCTATTACTCGAAAACGCAGGTCTGAATGACCTGGATTCACACGAGTAGAAAGCGAAGCCGGAAACGCCATGATCATTATATCAGCAAAAGCCGGAAATCTGAACTTTTCATTTTAACTTTATTTAGCTAAATCCAAAAAAAAAAATAATAAGTTACTTAAAACCTCTTGCAAATCACTGTTTGACATATACAACACTGAAGCTGGAAATTCAGTATTTTATGAAGACAGGGGAAATGATATATCGAGTAGTTTCTTGTCACTAAATTCAGTTTCCACATTCTTTCAAAGATAGTTTGTGTTAGTCTGTATCGAAATTGTCCAAGACAAAACCCGTCTTCATTGTAGATCGAGCAGTTTCGGTTTTGACCTTTTATCGAAAATGAATCAATTGAACTTACTAAGGCTGACTGAAAATGTTGTCGGGTCGCAATGCTTGGGGAAGCTAGTTTCACAGCCCATCACACTTGTGGAAAGACACCAATTACTCTCAACCAGTCCTTTTCAGGCTTCTTTAATCTCTATTCTCTAATACAGTCCTAATTACAGCACATTTATTTCACTCTTCCGTCTTTAACCACTCTGACTTTGATCGACTGATCGACTCTGTTTCACTCTTATGTATTTCGGGGAACTCTAATCAACTTCCTCCACCTCTGATCGATTACTCTTTTGTACGCGCTGGAGATACAGAACCCGCGAACATATTCACTACCAGTAAGCGTGGGTGGGCATGCTTCCCAACTGACCTTAGAAGATTAGACAGTTGATGTTGGAACACTTCTCAAAGCGCTTTTTTTTTACAATAATCTGACAAATAAACAGCATCGTACTTGATGCTTTCGATTAAACGATCAATCTTTGACTGTCAGGCTAAAACAAAAGTGTGGATCTCATAAGGCAAGTTCTGTAGATAAACTCAGCTCGCCCTCTATTGGCAGTTAGATGAGGCAGTCTTAGGAATCTCATCGCCAAATCTTGTACAGTTTGGGAAGATTGTGGTAAGCAGAAATCTCAGCGTTTAGAACGCCTACAAAAGCAAGGAATGAGTATCATTTATCAGTTAATTATAAATCTTGTATTCAGCACATGCGTAGTGAACCAAGTCTTTTATTATTAAGAGGGCGAACTTGTAACCTTTAAAGGTTACTAGTATGCGGAGAAGACAATTCTGTCGCACGGTAGAAATCAAGGTCTCATTAAATACGGTACGTAATCAAAATTACGGAGGAAAGTCACGGAGGAAAAGGGGAAGTAGTGCGACGATAAGTTTTCGCGCCCAAACTAGGAAACTGAACCTTCGCGGACAATACAATAATAGCGAGGGGAACTAGCTTTGTAGAGCGACTCGGCAGCGAGAACGGAAACTCGTCACGATTTCCTAGTACGCGGAGATCTACTTCGAGCGATCTCATACGGACGTCGCGGATGAGACAGTGTTTTGGTTCCACAGTAAACTTTTAGTTTAGGTCAGGCCAACAACTGACACGACGTTCAGCGTACTCAAGTTGAAAATGGGAAAAACCTTTATGAAGTGCTTACTTAAGTACTGAACTAGTGTAAGGTTCTACTTTCCTCAAAATTGACAATATTTAAATAGGAATTACAAAGAAACGGAAAACTTGTCTTTGAAGCAAAAATGATTTACATTGAAATATTGACATGTCGAAATTGAAAAAGCAGTTTCAATAAACTTTAGGCCATTAAAAATAGGAAACTTAGTGAGAATTCACAGCTTTGATATCGAAAATATACCCATGGGAATTGCAATAGAGGAGCTTACAAAATAAAATGAAAAATACAATTAAAACTGTCCGCTTATCTAAGCAAGGTTGGTGCTAAGTTTGATCGCATGAAAGGAAATTGAAGTTACTAGTCTAAACTTAGCTGCCAACTACCACGGGAACTAATTTTACCAGAAAGGCCATTAACACTTTCATTTCCCAAAAATTTCACTAGGATGGAACGACAAAAGTACCGATGTACAAGTATGCAGTGAAAGCAAGCAACACGGCAAAAAATCTCTTAGTTTACAACTCAAAAACTACTGTGGCCTTAAAGTATTTTTTCGTTTTCGACTTACTAGAGGTAAAACCCGAATAAACCCGGATTTTTTAAATATGAAAGTATAAGAATACATATGGAAAATTAGCAAATATATATATATATGCCTAAAAATCCAAAGTATAATATTCTATGATACGACAACAATTATTTTTTTGGGCTATAATTTATACAACAGTAACACCAATTTGAATAGAGCAATTCTTTCATCATTCTTTATAACTCAATCGGTCGAGTCAAAGAGTGAACAAAACACAAGAACTAGATCGAAACCGAAAAATTAAACTTGAAATGCGCGACCGTAAAATACTAAAAGAATTGGTCCAAAACTAAAACAGATAATACTCCTAAGAGTATAGACTGAAGATTGCGAAGTGATAATTTACGGTTGTAGTTAAATTTGAGAGGCTGAACTTATGTGATTCGAGCTAAAAGAAAATACAGCAGAAACTAAACTAAGAAAATATCCCTGATATTTGTAACACAAGCCTAATTAACAATAAAGCGATTATGAATTGAACCGAAAGCGAGAAATAAATCAGTATTACAGACCAAAAAGGGAAATATCTTAAATGTAAAAGAAAGAAAAACTTACTTTGGTCTAGCTCGTAACGATAGTAGGTAACTCGCTGTTAGCAGATGATTCGTAAATAGCAGACAAAAATTTGGTGGTATCAACAGCAACTAATAGCGATGAAGTATGAAATACAGTAACTAATACATGTTCTTAAAGTGCCCCTGAGACGAAAACTGACCATTTTATTTTGGCCTAAATTGTTCACACGATGTTGAATTGGGTCAAGTTAAGACCCTTTTTGTCATTAAAAACTCAAAACAAACCTTCGATGAACAATTTTTACCGCTTCAAAGTCGTCCAAAAATCGTCCGCCATTGCTGAAAACATGTTCCAGCCGAGCTCGCAAAACGTCATCATNATATTAATTTAATATTGTATTATTATTAGTTATTCTTATTTAATATGAGAAGTATCTTTTAGATTTAGACACGAAGGAGCAGTATTGTACTCATCATTAGTATGTATATATCTTTTATGTTTATATCTATCTATGTATATATAGGAAGTCTGCATTTTTATTTTTCTGTGTTACAATGCTCGATACATAAAAGTAGAGCGCAACATATATTGAGTTAGAAAAATAGAAAGATTGCGCTTTAATCCCCACAAGCCTGTTTCGTGATTGCTCACTCATCAGGGGATTTTATGAAAGGGGTATAAAACTATGGTCGTCAGCGCATTTAAATATGAACCGAAGATGAACATTATAGAATCATATCAAATGTTAAAACAAATGCAAGGAAAGATTTTTCAGGAGTACATATATAAGAACAGTTTTGGTTTTTTGTCTTCCCAAACATCATGCAGCGAACGTAAATTATTACCTCTCTTATAGAATAAGTATGCGATAAAACACGGCAAACACTTTCCAAAAATGTTTGAAAAACTGTTATGACTCCTTTGAACATTTAGCAAAAATCTAATCATTTAAAGAAAATGTAGTGCAGCTACAAGGCTTGACTTCAGTGAAGCAACTCGAAAACTTCTCCCTGCCTAGAAACCTTCCAGCTTGCTTCGATGAGTCTCCTCACACATGTTCTTTTTTTTTTTTTTCACGATTATGGTTTTTTCCTTTTTTTTTGTAAACTAAAGGAGCCTTACCAGCCTGGAAAGTTCAACCTGTGAACTTCACTTCTGTCGTTCAGGGAGAGCACTTAACCCTCACGTGGGAATATAAAATGGATGGAACATTTGAACAGGTTCAATTTTCTCATTTGACGGATGCTGGGAAAGAGAAGTCGGTTGCTGTTAAGTCTTCAATGCTTGGAAACGTAGTCGTTGCCTCTGAATACCAGGAAAGATTCAAAGTGAGAATATCAGACTCACAAACAACAGTAAAAATTCTCAGAGCAAAGAAAGCTGACCTTGGAAAGTACAAGCTCGAGGTTATAAACAAGAAATTGAAAAAAATAGACAGCGTGGTGGAGGTTTCTGTTTATTGTAAGTACTAATGATGCACAAACACGCACGGGAAAGACTAATAGAAAGGCGCAATCGGCTGGATTTTACTGAACATTTCACGTTCAGATTCCGTATTAGGACCAAGAAACTTCAGACAAAAGTGTGAAAATCGGCCTGCCGAGCTATTTCGGTTTGTGACGTATTGCTATTTCGGTTTGTGACGTATGGTGAACTTTGATGGCTTGAGAACTTTGATGGTTTGACATTTTGAAACCTTCAGCTTCATTCAACCAATCATATTGCTTGAACCATTCTAAAGAGAATTCTGATTGGCTTATTGTAGTCTACTCTACGAGAACAAAGAGCATCTGTGCTGACGACACTGTTGTTTGTTTTGAAAATTGAAAGTTATTCTTGGGGAATTTAACGGATTCTTTATCATAAAAGAGATAAAGAAGCCTTGGCTGTGCTCTGTTCTGTTGAAAAGCACTTAGGATTCGATAAGACTACGTCGCGTGTTTCTCCCTACACTTCTTTCGTGCTCTAGCTGCTTCCTGTGTGCTTTACAACAGAACAGAACACAGTCAAGGTTCTCTGTTTGTTAAATAGAAGATAAAGAAAACGAAAAATAGATTATGTCTAGTCAAACTCAATCGGAATAGACTGCTGGTCGGCCGGGATATTAAAGTAGTACATACGCAATTCTTATCACTGAATCCTAGTTTTGAAATTTTGAAAAGAAAGAGAGGCCAAAACATCTACTATTTGTTGTCATTCTTAGATCCACCAGCCAACACCGTTCTCTCAGTATTTCCCAACAGCAGCGAAGTACTAGGGGGGAGTGTCTTATATGAGGAATGCTACACAGATGCCAATCCTGGTCCACATATTTTTCTGTTATACTTCAATGGAAATCTTATTAGAAACAGTAGCTCAGGGGAGTTTAACGTAACCGTTGACAGCGATGGAGTATACACCTGTGCCCCTATTAATACAGTTGGTTCGGGAGACAATGCGTCGTTCAGCGTGACTATTGTTGGTACGGAATCCGTCAGGTTTTTAGACAGGCTTTCTTGACGTATTCATAAACTACATTATAGACATAGGCATTATCGCTAAGCCTCTAGCAAGAATTTTGAGTGATTTGTTCATTAAAAGGGAACAGTCATGTATTTATTCAAGGTTTAATCAATATTGACCTACGTGATACAACAAATATAACCTAAAGGTGGGGGTGATGTAAAAATATGACAGAAATTCAATGTGTCTCTAGCATTCGTACCATCTTCAGTTTTGAAGAATCCTGTGTTCTGTTACGTAACAAGCAGTATTTTGTTGCCTTTTTTTTCAAACCGTAGGCGAAAGCCATTTGACACGTGTTTCAGTTTAGCCTCTAGAACACTATGCAATAAATCAAAAAAATAATTTTAAAGAATGCTAATATTTCCAGCCTCCTAGTAACTCTTAGTTTTGAACATCTATCAGGCAAGCCTATAATAGCTTCGGAGCCCAAAAGCGTTACACCATTGGTAGGTGAGGCTACATCTCTGAGGTGCCTTGCCTATGGCAGTCCTCCGCTAGCTATTACGTGGGCTCGTCATGGCGTTGGAAATGGCTCAGAGCTCTTTTTTCCATCAGCGAGGTTCTCTGACCGTGGATGGTACGGATGCGTAGCTAAAAATGGTCATGGAGTCTCTTTTAGTTCACTTGCATACCTCGATGTAACCGGTAAGAACATAAATATATGTATGATTTGGCCCTTCTTGTAACAAAGCCGTTTTGAATTGTTTAAAGCAATTTTATGGACCCTATTTACTCTTTAGATAGTGCCAGTACCTTCATTACTGGACGAGTGACAATAACAAATGAGAATTTCGATAATAGCTTGGAAAATCCAGCAAGTATGAGATATCAAACCATTAAAAGGCATTTTGTTGAGGCGGTAAGTGTATGTACGGTTAGTCTTAATGTTACGCGATAGGCTAGGGTCTCGGTGCCAATTGAGTCGTCTCATAATGGTATCACGACAATGATTATTAGTTTGAACACAATCTTAATTGAATACCATCCTAATGTTCTGTTCAGACTACTAAAAGGTTTTGTTCCGACTACTAAAATAACTTGTTCAGACTACTATAATAACTTCAAGCGAAAACCACATGCATTTTTATATACCATAATAGTAACACAACGAAATGTCCTCAGTAGGGTGGTCCCGTCATAAGTCCAGTCTCACTGGGGGGCGTGAGATCCTCCCACTGTGGGTCCGGGCCCGAACACCTAAAGGCTAATTTTTGTCTACGCCTTTTTGAGGTATTACTTTGAACTGAGAGGGTAAGCTTGATGAGATGGGGTCTTATTTCAAAACAATACTAGATAAAGGGGAGCGACATGATTACTAATAACATTAAATCCTTGCAAGAGCCATCACTTAGCAGAAGTTACTTATTTAGCAGGAAGCCTCTGGAAAAAAAAAAAAGATGGATAGCGTAAGACTAAATGGGAGATCAGAAGTCTATAGATGGCTTCCATAAAAGGAAATTACAACTATGTCAGAGGTCGAATCGTAGCCTGAGTTAGTGGAAACAGAACTTCTCACGCTAACGGTGTTTCATTTTCAATGAAAAATTCTGCCGTACACGATGAGAAGTCGCATATCCAAAATTTTGTAAGATACTGCTGTTGAACTTACGTAATGTTGCTTTTTAATATTCAATAGCAGTATATGATTTTTTTTTCACGAAAATTTCCAATCACAGTTCATATTTAAAATTCAGGTAGGGGAAGTTTTCAAGAACGACGTCACCTTCCACAGCACGGATGTCACAAGATTTGAGTGAGTGGCAATTGCACCATTTTAGTATTTTAAAACCAACTACTTATTGTCACCTTACGCGGTGGCATTCATATATTCATCCATCCATAAATTCCTTTATTAATCTACCCATCCCTTCTCCGTTCATCCATTCACTCAATCATCCAATCATAAATTTTTCCCCCCGTCCTCCTTCCATGCTTTCATTTATCGATCCAGCCACACATACACACAGCTATTCTTCCATCCTTCCCTCCTTCTATCCTTCCTTACATCCATTCATCCCCCCTAAAGTTCCCTCTCTCTCTCTACCAATCTATGCATCTTTCATTCATATATATATTCATCAATCCATACATATTTCCATTTGTTTCCATATCAATCCAGTCTTGTTATTAGTCAAACTCTATTTTGATCATTTACTAAATCAATTCCGTTGAATGTTGCTTTCACTGGCAGAAATGACAGGAAAGGAACTGTGAACATCCTTTTTGTACTAGCGTTCAAAGAAGCTGTTCTAACAGAAAGAAAAATCACTCTTTTAAAAATCGCTGCCAGAGAAGGAAAACTTGGGGTCTTAGATGTTGATCCAGCCTCCGTAATGGTTATTCGTGAGACTGAGGAACCTGTGCTTGAATGTAATTTTGGATGCAGACCGTCACGCTCACCGGAAAGTTTAGGTACTTTTTTCTATTAATTGTAAAGTATTGTGGGACGAGGAAAATACCTTTAATCTCAGGGAAAGGTTTTATTAAAAGTGGAGTAGAGAAAGATTGAGAGAAGGAAAATAGGAAAGAAATACTGGGGACACTTTCAATACGATAAAGGAAAAGAAGGCAAAACCTTGTTGAAGTGGTCTTGAAAAGCTTACAAGGGTAAAATTACTTTAAAAAATGGCTCTGCGATAAAGCTACTTTTATCACAATTTAATCTCTGTTTCACACAAGAAATAATCCATTGGCAAATAGATAGTTCTTTAAAATGGGGATATAGAAAGATTAAGAGAAGGAAAATAGGAAAGAAATACAGGGGACACTTTCAATACGATAAAGAAAAAGAAGGCAAAACCTTGTTGAAGTGGTCTTTAAAAGCTTACAAGGGTAAAATTACTTTAAAAAATGGCTCTGCGATAAAGCTACTTTTATCACAATTTAATCTCTGTTTCACACAAGAAATACTCCATTGGAAAATAAATAGTTCTTTAAAATGGGGATAGAGAAAGATTAAGAGAAGGAAAATAGGAAAGAGATACAGGGGAAACTTTCAATACGATAAAGAAAAAGAAGGCAAAACCTTGTTGAGCTGGTCTTTAAAAGCTTACAAGGGTAAAACTATTTTAAGAAAATGGCTCTGCGATAAAGCTATTTTTATCGCAATGTAATCTCTGTTTCACACAAGAAATAATCCATTGGCAAATAGATAGTTCTTTAAAATGGAAATAGAGAAAGATTAAGAGAAGGAAAATAGGAAAGAAATACAGGGGAAACTTTCGATACGATAAAGGAAAAGTAGGCAAAACCTTGTTGAAGTGGTCTTTAAAAGCTTACAAGGATAAAATCATTTAAAAAAAAAACGCTCTGCGATAAAGCTACTTTATGCAATCTCTGTTCCACGCAAGAAATAATCCATTGGCAAATATATAGTTCTTTAAACTGTGTAGTAAACTAACGTATAATGACCTCGCTACCTGGGATAGCTAATACGACTAATTCAACGGTTTTAGCGTATTGTGTGGGAAAGATTTCTATCAGAGACCTGTGTTCTCACGTGATTAAAAAACGAGCCTTTTAGTAAGGTTAAAATCGGTGATTTCTTGATTTGCTCTGCAGCTTGCTCATGTGACAACAAAATATTCAGAGCAGTGACAGGAATTCTTGTTTTAATAATCATCGGTCTTCTTATTTATGTATTCTTCCAGCACAGAAGATCAGGTAACGGTTACATAAATTCTAGATGAACAGATTACAAACTAAACTGGGAATAGTCCGCGACAGTGAAGTTAAAAATAGTGTGAAGTCCTATCGTTTTTGTAAAAGAAGTCATGTAAATGGCGACGCCTAGATTACATACTACTTGTCTTCTTTGGGCGACGAGGTCGAATGCAAAGAGTCATTCCGTTACAAGCATCTTGAAATGCTCTTATTACTTGGTTTTAAGTGATGTGAGTCATGTCTAATTGTTTTATTCTGGGAAATGCTTTCCACCCCTGCAAGGCTGACTGGTTTAACAGATGCAAAAGCGTCCATTGGGATACTAAATGTGATCCCTTGAGGTCTCCGACTTGGAACTGAATATCAGACAGGCGTTTTTGTTGAAGGCGTCAACGAAGTTTTGTCCAGTCTCCAAACAGTGGTACAAAACCATGGTCACCTGTTCATCATCTGAATGTTTGTTGAAAACTAATCAATCACCTAGGGACTTCATGTTTTCCATGAGGCGACTCATAACTATCCAAAGTCATCGACTGATGAAGGATAACAGTATGAAGCCAAAATAAAACAGGCAATTCACGTCACCTTGGTCTTCACAGAGTAGAATAGACGATTGCATTTTATTGTTTTACAAATCTGAAGAATCTTTAAGAAAATTTTAAAATATATTTAGTATTTGTTGTAACGGACTTTTTCTATCTTCATCTTAGGAATTGAATCCAAGGAGAGGTTAGCGAAAAATCTCCCTGCACTCGTTATGTTTCTTAACTGTAGAGGAGTTTTATCGTTATTTTTTTTAAAGTATTATTTTTTTAATTCTTTATTTATTTTTCCACGATTCGTTCACCCTTTTCAGAATGTAAAAGTTTAAGAATAAACCGTTTCAGGTAACTTTAGAGCCTTGCACATTATTTTTCTCTTTATACAATGCAAAATGATATTTCTAGTAACTTTATCCAAAACGCTCGTTTTATTCGACAAAAATCGACGAATCAGAAAGGTGTACCTTTGTCTCTACTTTCTTTCAAGGAGTTTTGAAATGGCGAGAGAAGAAACTCGGCGTAGACCTCCAGGCGTAAGTTGAATATCAGTGTCACAAACAACTTCAAAGCAAATTTAAAGAATCTCTGTCTTTCATATTTTCCGCTCACAAGTCACCCTAGGTAGGCTAGCAGTTTTAATATTATCTATCAGACAAAAGTTGAAAAGAGTGCGATTGACAGAAAATTTTAGATTCTAATAAGAAGCCTTAAAGTTTCTAATTTATGAAAAACTTTGATAACATCCAGTTGGTCAGCGTGGATTCCAGGTACCTGACATCGTGTAATCGACCTCTTTAATAATCTTGTGCTTTCTCGTCTTTTGAAGCATGAAATTTCCATTACTGGAGTCAAAAAAGGTGGAATGCTGGCTAACCCCAAAGTCGCAGACGAATCTGTTGCTGAAACGCCGGAAACAGAGGCCGATACTGAGCCAATAAATACTGGAATTATTGGATACGACCTGGCCCTGCCGGTCTCCAAATCGTCTTGGAAAGTTCCACGAGAAAATGTAACTGTAAGAGAAACAATAGGCAAGGGAGCCTTTTCGCAGGTGGCCAGGGGAACAGTCACAAGTCTCCATGGGGCTTCTGAAGTAACAGTAGTTGCAGTAAAAATGCTTAAAGGTAGAAACTATTCATTTTCAATCCATACACATTTCTATCAATGGGTTAAGCACATAAGCACATTCACCGCCTTTACAAACCACCTTCAAATACTGTACATTTCTTTCGGGACTGTCATAAGAACCTTCTAAATAAACTTCAAGTCGAAGGCTTGCAAGATTTGTTTCCCATCGAGCCATGATACCTTTTTCAATTCTCATTATGATTCGAAGATTAATTTCCGTCAGAGCCAGGAGAATTTCTTCGACTCCAACCGCAAAAACATACCTTAAGCGCAGATGATTAAAGCATAGTAACAAATAAGCGAGTGTTTAAAGAATATGATATAACTTCTAGCAGCAATTAAATGTCCGAAAAATAAATTTTGCGCCTCATCTACTTAAAAGGGAACCAGCCTATTTAATAGTAAGTTCAGTGCGATTGATTCAAATTTCTTAGAGAAAGTAGGTGATTAGCATGCAACCGTTTGATATACACTTGACTGCGAAAACACTGACACCTAAAAAGCGTTTAAAATTTACTATGAAACCTTACGGCTTTATGGGCCACAATAATAACCATCATTAGTTGTGCGTCGTTAATAATAGCAACTATCCAATGTTTCCTAGAAAAATAAGGATTATCATACCAAAGGGATTTCACATAAAAAGCAAGAAAAGAGAATCACTAATTATGTATCTCTGCCAACATTTCCCGTAAAGCCGTTGGGTCACATCACATTTGAGGTGTCGACGTTTTTGCATCCTAATATACTTTTTATCCAACTTACTTTTTTTCCACTTTTAAATAATAGAAAACGCTCCTGCCTCAGATAGGAAGGATCTGCTCTCAGAGCTTGACCTAATGCAGCAACTCAAACCTCATCCATATGTCATCAAACTACTGGGATTTGTTGCAGGTAGCGTAATTAAAACCCCACTGTGCACGACAAACGAGAAGTTCCTAAAGGGTTAGATCTTTTGTAACGTATTTTTTTGTATTGACAGATCCGTTATTGGTGTTGACTGAGTATGTTCCATTCGGAGACCTACTCGGTTATTTACGAAAAAGTCGAGGACTGAACGACACTTACTACAGCAACCCGAAGATCCCAGCAGAAACCACTTTGACGGCAGACAAACTGATGAAGTTTGCTTGGCAGATTGCCGATGGGATGAACTACTTGTCCTCTAAATGTGTAAGCTTGTGAACTGCGTGACTTCTACTCATCCTTATGTCTAGTTTCTAGAACAGCGCTAACACGATTCTCCCTCCTCCCAAGATCCAATTTTCCTAAGAATTGATCCCCTTTTTTCAGTTATTTAATTGACGGCAGGTGATGATCGCAGTTTACCTGAATCATTTGTAAATGTTAGATTTGATCTCAAAATTAATCTCCTTCTTTGTCTAGTATATCAAACGGCTGTTTCAAGCAGGTTGATAAATTGGCTGTTTTATGATTTATCACGAGGATATACAGGAGATATGTAACCACTGTGATTATGCATCCTATATAAGTTCAAGCATACAGTTTTTTTTATATATATATCTTTCGGAGCAGATAATTCATCGAGACCTGGCAGCACGCAACGTGTTGGTTGGAGAAAATGAGAACTGTAAAGTGACAGACTTTGGAATGGCCAGAGACGTCCAGCAAGACACCATATACGAAATGAAAACTATGGTACATTAGATTATTATATAATTCGTTGTCAGCTAAAATCCATGATAACCTTAATAGCGGGGCTCCCACGCGCGCGAAGCGTGCGTGGGGTGGAGCCCCATACCCATGGAATATGTTCAACCTCTTTTCGTCTGGTTGTCACTTGACTGACGAAGCGTGCGCACGTACGTGCCCTCTGTTATGTATGCTATCACGAAAGTGCTATATGATCAAATTTGATATATGGCGTCCACGCGGCTGACCCTCAAAATTTTCAGGTCGGATTTTTCGTTCATTTGCTATCGAGTTAGACCTTGTGGAACTCAGAATGTAAAGTAACAATGCTATAGAATACTCTGCTTGGAGAAGAATGGATATCAAGGTCTTAAAGGTGACAGAATAAGCTCTCAAGTCAACGTCACTACTATTCTCTAAGGCAAATCGAATTATAGACGTAAAGTGAAAACCGAACTTTCCGACTTCAAGAAGGGTCTAGCGAGAATTTGACGATTCGATGACACGGTAAACATTATGTTCGAGTAACAATGTGTTCAAAAAGTATTGTTTAATAGAAGATTTTGCGTCAAATTGAAGTTTTTTCAGAATTTTCAACATAACGCTGCGCAATTCTGGCCTTGAAGGCAAGTAAACAACGATCTAAGCGAATTTTATCGCGTGGGCTTTGTACAAGTAAGAAATTCGTACGTTTTTCGCTTATAACAGCAAATCAAAAACTGTTTTGAATAAATCTGTCGTCCCGAAATATTTCTTGGCCATTTTAGTCTTGCTTCCTAATGATAGATTCCATGGAACTTGAGATCTCTTCACTCACGGACAAATTCGCACATTCCATTTTGAATTATGACCCACATGCCCATTTGCACATATGCGAAAACATTTAGCGATTTTTATCTTTTATCTTGATTTTTGAGTTAAAACGTAATATGCACCTATCACTTTTTTGGTCGGAAATAAGTTATTTAATTAGTCTTCTTTCACTGGAGCTTGTTTTTCAGAAAAGATGATATTTAAAAGTTTACTGCGCCTTGTGTTTGCTTTCCTGGTTTCTCCAAAATTTTGACCTTTTACAGGCACGTGTTACATCGAAGTGTCAATAGGTTTAATCTACACTGAATGAATTTTTGGCTAAAAATTTTTAATATATGTAAAGACATTTTATTGCAAAATTCTCACTTATAGGGAGCTCCGCTTTTAGGCTCGGCTAAATCTATATATTATTATGTACAAACACTTTAATGCATATATATTTATACTGCGGACTGATAAAGGAAAAGAAAAGAGAATGGAAATCATTCGGTTATGAAGAACTTCGACCGCAATGTTGGCAGTCAACACCTAGTGTAATGAGCCTATCGGTCTTCGTGGCACGGCAAGCATGGAAGAGGCGATGGAAAATGAATTATCAACAGTGCTATTTTCCTCTCCCCTTTCAAGTTGTGTTTTTTATCATCATCAACTTATTACAGTTTTTAAATATTAAATGGCCAGGTACCTTATAATAAAAACCGAGATGAAGAAGTTCAAAGAAAGACCCTCTTACACTAAAAATGTGTTATGTGAGACAGTAACAATGGGGAGACCGGAGCCATAACTGTTGATCACCATGTAAAACCACTACTCCAAGAAAAAAATATTTGAGAGGGAGGAAGGCCAAAATAAATGCAGCAACAACAGAAGGCACAGGGAACTTTTCCCTGTAGCTTAGGGCTACTGAAGGACAAAATAAACTAACTTGAAACTTATCCGCCTCTTATCTGCTTTTGATAGTGTGGCTGACTAACGCGAATTGCAAATTGCGCTACAAATTGATACACAAGAAAAAAAAAAAAAAACCTATCTTTATACTTCAGGGGCGACTTCCTATTAAGTGGACTGCTTATGAGTCACTTTGCTATGGGACGTACACCACCAAAAGCGATGTGTAAGTACTCGAGGAATACTTACCTGAAAATTAATTATCAATTATTCTATGCTATCATTTTAAAACTTGTGTCGCTACCGCGAATGTGTAATATTTACGTCATTGGGCTTAATTATAACGTGCTCACTATCTTTGAATTATATCTCCGATTTGAATTCAAGTATCTATGCGTTACCAGAAGAACAAGTCTTTTGTAGTGAGCCACATACTAAGCATCATTTTGGCATTAAGGTACAAGAATTATTTATGTCCCTTAAAAAACATTTCCAGAATTAAACTAGCTAAGGAAATAAAAAAAGAAAATTGCCCATGATTATCTTTCAGATGGAGTTACGGGATTGTCCTATATGAAATCTTTACACTGGGTAAGATTTTTGATTTGATGTCCGGGATACGATGGAACTTATGTCTCACGCAGTTTTTTTTGTTTTGTTTTGTTTTGTTTTGTTTTGGCCAATGATTAACGAAGCTATCCTTGAGCCGTGGAGCCGTGAGCACAACATAAAGGATGTCGACGGTGTAATGATACCCCCGAATCTTAGACAAAATTACTGTATTGGGAAATATGAAATGAGTGTGCCTGTCTGTTAAAAATTCCAATTTTACCGTATAATGGAGGTATCGTAAAGAGTTTTTTGTGGCCATAGATATCGAGAAGGGTCATTCAACCTAATCCGTAATAAGCTCTTTACGTGTCTACTAAATGTTTCGTTAAAACTTACAGTCAGCGAAGTTTTTACTAAAAACTGTTTTTTTTTTAATTTCCCATCATTTTAAGGTGGATCGCCATATCCAGGTATGGAAGGGAAAACGGTTCCAGATTGGCTGAAGCTTGGATACAGGATGCCAAAGCCAGTACACATCGACGACAAATTGTAATGATATCCTAAATCCTGCAACATTTTAGAAAAACGTATGATCACCAAAATGTAAACTCGAAACCCTCGTGGTTTCCTTCGTTAGTTCAACTTCGCGGCGCTTACTAAAACGACCGCAGCAGCCTATTTTGTCGCAACCCATGGTAACTTACTTTCCATTACGTTAATGTCTCTCTTTTCACGATGAGAATCAACAAAGTTAGCAATGCGATTGTAAGATCCAAGATAGATTCTTTCTTTGTCCTAGGTATCAAGTAATGCTAGAATGCTGGCAAACAGAAGCAAGAGATAGACCGACATTTTCTGACCTTACAAAGAAAATGAAAAAAATGGAAAATCAACACAAGGTATTGACCTTTGCTACTACAGCATTGTTGCTACAGACATTATGAAATAAGTTAGTGATATTTCGTATAATGTTTACACGGTACATTTTCGAAGTCTGATTGATTGGTAAACATACTCATTCAGCCCTCTGTATGCACGATGTCTGTCTTACAAGGATCATCGGACAATGATCGATCCGTTTAATTGTATTCTTTTCCCTTTTTTGATTCTTCATTTTCAGAGGCTTATCCACATGACGAAGTATGACCAGACACTGTATGTGAACGTTGATGATTTATTTGTTTAGTATAAAGACGATGCATTATTTCAAGAAGAAAACGCGAAAAGAAATACAAGATTTATCAGTTTATTTGAACAGACGAACAATTAAATCGATAATCATAAAGGTAGTCATTCCATTAATGTTGTTTGCATGGTAGACTTACTACACATGGTTTTTGGGGGTTTTATGTCATTTAAAAGTGACTTCCACTTATCACAACTCACTGGTATTAGTTAGTTACCAACCTAGCCTCGTGTTAGTTCAGTGTCCTCTTAACAGTCAGAATTTACTTTTTGTCAGCGTTTATTTTATTAAAATGAATTTAATTAAGGCATTGCACTTGGGTCTGGGCATGCACGTGGTACTACAAATTTGACGAGAACCTGAAGATCTCTCAAATTTATCAAGGTTAAAAGAAGGTTTTTTCTCACGAGGCTAGGCTTTCGTATTTCAAAATGACAAGTTTTATTCAAAGGCAATTCTTAGCAATTTTTTTGTCCATCAATTTATTAAAGTGTCTATTCATTAACCATTTTCTGAGGCCAACTCCAATTTTTTTATCATAACTGCCTTAAATCTCAAAACGTACTATAATTTAAATGAAAGTTGTTTCTTGCTGTCTCGTTGATGATACATGTCAATATTATTCACTAATAAACATTTGTGAAATTATTGGCGCGCTACACTTCTTCCATCCTCATAATGTAGAAAGAAAAGATCACAGCTGCAACTGTTAAAGCTTGAATGAATTATATTTAAAGCATAACTTTCAAAAGACCTTTTTAAAGGCTCCTTAGTGGTTCTTATGAGTTCAGCGGTAGATTTAGGAGCTGCACAACTATTTTCTTTTTTCACAGAGGTTTTTCTTGTTTGGAATAGTATTTTAAAAGGAAAAGTAGAATTATTATAAATAGTTCTATACAAGGTCAAGTCACTGCTGATTTTTTCAAAACTGCTTTCCTCATAATACTATGAGACAGCAATGGAGTCACTGAAGAATAATTTCGAATTTACTTCCTCAATTATACGGTAGAAGCAGCGAAGGCATCGCTAACACGATTGCTTCACAAGTCCAAAGTTAGTAGAATCTTGTCGAATTTCATTGCCACAACAATTCCTGCTGCACCGTCGTCATTCATACAATTGTGAGAGAAACACAAGCTGATCAAAGTCTTGTTGATTTTGATTGCCTCAGCAATAGACGTGGCTCCGTCGCCACCAATACGATTGTTCTGCAAATTCAAACTATTCCACGAAAAAATTCAAATTGCTAAGATTTCAACCAAATGCAAAATTTTTTGTTAACCGTAGGCGAGAATCATCTTCAGTTTTATTCGTTTACACTCCGCGTTAAAGGCCACCGATACAATTTCCGCACAAATGCCATCATTCTTAATGACTTGGTTTGTCAAACTCTTTTTAAGAGAAACAGTTTGTTCACCACATTGCACCGCTAGCACTCCGCATAAAAACAATATACTTGTACAAGTTTACCGAAATACCTTGCGTCGGAAACTATTTCTTCTGGTATAATTTCTTTGCATTGAAATTGATAACCAAATAGAATGCTGCAAAGCATTCTTGGAAAATTTTGTGTAGAAGAGCATGCGTGGTTTCCCAATTCACTTTCATCAAAGTCCAACTAATCTTTAAGTGCACCATTCAGCGTTATCAAGCCTAAACAATCAAAGTGCGGTTCATAAAGGTTTTTCAGGCACTCTCGTTTCTGATAGTCCCTTTCTTTTTCCAGAATCTCTTTAAGACACACTCAAATATGTCCAAATACAATTAAGCTCTGTTTTCTGAGAGTGCGCTCTCAAAATCTTCACACTAAAGGCAAAGAAGCGCTCTGTTCAGAGGATTAGTTGCTAATTGCCTGAGGTTTCTAATACGTGACACCCTTTTCGAGAGCTCTGAGGCTGAATGCAGCTTCTCTTTGGGGTACCTGAAGACAATTCTTTCAAATGTTCGTTAGTAAATCCTTCGATTTCAGGCAGTGAATCACAACATTTCAATCATTATTCCAGCTTCCTGTCCTGCTGTTGCAACTAGGTGGCATTTTGGGAGCTCTCTTCCTTCAGTTAATTGTAAAAAAATTGGGAATCTGCTTGAAGGTAGCTCATGAAAGCCATCCAATAATAATAATAATAAGATGCTGGACTGATTTTCACGGAAAAATTGAAAGAATTTCACGCTCTGACATTTTCATCGATATTGCAGGGCAGAAGCTTCCAAAACATCAACAAGGATGTCACGATATCTTAGCGATGACAATGCTTCAAATTTTGCTAAGCCACAGCCCTGGGGTCTAGCTTTTTTGTGACCCAGTCGTAAACGTACTTTGAGCAGTATGTAGTTTTGCCCATACCAGGTTTTCCCTCGATTAACACTGTTCTGGGCGCTAAACACGCTTCATTCAGGTCTAGTATAGAAGACATCTCAACAAATACGTCAGTGACTTTTCCCCTCGTCGTCTTTCGTCTCGGACCACTTTAGCTTGATAAAAATATTTCAAATTAAAAAAAAACGGAAACTCTTCACACCATGGAAACGGTGAGAGCCATCCCTCACGAGCCTTGTACAGCTGACTAATTCTGTTGATAAGTTCAGTTGGATCAAAAAAGTGATTGAGTGGACATGGCTTGAAAATTGTGGACCACAGTGTTTTTCAAATGGATGAGAATTTGTAACGAAAGGAGGGATAAAAACCAATCTGTTGTCATTAGCTATGCAGGGATAGCTTATTGTATTGTTTTCCTGATCGAACACAGTGTAAAATTGAACACTGTCAAAATGTGCTTAAAATTCCGGAGTTAACCACCGAGCCTAGTTAGATTATGTCGTGACGTAACTGCTGATGTTGCGATTTTCGCAAAGTTCAGCCTGGTTTCTCCGTGCGCAAATGAGAAGCCCCAAACTAATTTTTGTATCCTCGAAAACGACACTACTATTTCCAATTATCATGAGCTTAACCTGAACCGATTCTAAGTTATACCGCATGGGGAAAATGATAATTGAAAATTTGCTGTGAAATGCGATATTTAGATTTGCAAATACTGGTGATTTTTAAAAGCGTTTCGTGAGGCCCAAATTAAGTAAAATGGTTCCGTTTTAGACTTAAACTACACCTCGATCCTTCCTATAAGAGTTTTAAAATTGATACGAACTTGCTCTCTTTTGCGCTTTTCATGAGCAATGTTCATTTGCCTATACTCGGGGCACTGATTTCCGCCATTTTGCGGCTACAGACGCCCGTTTCAGTTCGTGAATTTTCTATGATAAAGAGACAAGTCTGGGAAAAAAGAAACACCTCAACAAACTTTTATCTTTACGTATGATGCACGATCCCCGCAGTCAGGATAGCGCTATTTATGCAATAGCGAAAATCAGACCTGAAAAAAATCAGGCCTGTACGGGACTCAAACCACTGACCTCTGCGATACTAGTGCAGCGCTCTACCAATTGAGCTAACAAGCCAACTGAGAGGAGGCCGTTAAGTTGATTCGTAATAAACCCGTGAAAGTGACAAATGAGATACAGTGAATATATGAAGTTCATATATTTTGAACTGCGGTATTAGATACGTATGATGCACGATCCTCGCAGTAGATAGCGCTATTTATGCAATAGCGAAAATCAGACCTGAAAAAAATCAGGCCTGTACGGGACTCAAACCACTGACCTCTGCGATACTAGTGCAGCGCTCTACCAATTGAGCTAACAAGCCAACTGCCTCCTC